CGTCACTGTTTTTGGCTCTTTCAAATTCTCATTTTTGGGGGTGATGGGAAAGGACTCCCCCTACGGCGTCTATTTAAACGTCCAGAACTCATTAAACTTTCACACATTTGCTCAAGACTTCCCCGGCGTGGAGGACAAGCAGAGTCTTCTTAACGACATCACTTATTTCTCCAATTTCCAAGTATGCCAAGTCCTTGAGTTAACAGACAGTTCACAGCTACCAGATCCGACGATATTAGATTCTATTCCCAACCAATTGTGTTACACGGGGATCATTTCATATAATTTAGCGGAGTTGTATTGGGCGAAGTTAGAGCGTGACAAGCGCGGAGTCCATTCTGTCCCGAATGTGATGCGGATGAATTATCGAGGGTATTTAGGGGATTATTTGATCTCACGGAAGGTCGAGAGTACCGTCTCAGTTCATCGGCAGATGCGGACGTCTTCGGGGGATTTAGGCGTGATTATGTATGATCGGAGTAACTCGATACCCTTTGGGATGATATCTTTCAATGTAGTTGCGATGTTATTACACTATGGAGTACCTCCGGAGACGTTATTATTACCCGTTCCGACGTATGTGATAGAGAAAGAGTTAGGTGTAGTATCTTTAAGGGATCAAGTGAGTTATTTATATAGTATAATAGATAAGAATGATCCATATGCTAAAGCTATACAAGAACATATCAATCTGACGTATTTGATTCGGCATAGACATATCCCTTTAAGACCTTCATATCGACTTGTCGGCGTGATTGATCCATTCGCTGTACTACAAGCTGGAGAAGTCGCGTTGGGCCTTGAAAGAAGCGCGTTTGCGTTGTTTGGGAAGACCGTCTTAGTAGCTTCTAATACAACAGTCACGCCACTCGCGTTACAACGGTTTCAAGTCAAGAACGAGAAATTGGCCGGCGTCGACTTCACGGGGTGCGTCGTATTCAACGCGGTCGATGGATTTTACTATATGAATACCGAGTTTGACTCAGTCAATTTCAATTACAGGAAAAGTGATTTCATCGTCATCTCTGAGAAGGATAAAGACACACATAATAAGTTGATGGAGCTTGATATCACGCCAGTAGTCCAATCGATGAAGGGAGATGAGTCCTTTGGCGCACTTGTCTCGAAAATTGTGAACCAAACGGACGCCCTCCGGGAGAAGGCAGTCAACTACCAACTCCTAAGAGCTTTAGTGACAAAGTCCAGAGGAGATTTGGACGATTTCTCGTACGTCTTATTCAACTTGATACACACCGACGAGAGAATTAAAGTCAAGGAAGAGCTTTTTAGAGTCCCGAAAGTCCCCCACGCGCCGAATTTCTTTGGAATACAACTTGAGCCAATGACTCCTTATTTCAGGTTCGAAGAGCTCTTCAATGGGTTTGTGGAGGACGAGGCGAGGAAGATTGAGGCGTTCTATAAGAAGGATATTCGAGAGAAGTCCGCTTTAAAAGTCCTTATGTCTCAGGCGGAGATGTGTAGTGATGAAGATTTGGAGAACGCAAGAAAGCAGTGGTTCCACTACTCCGTGCAACTCAAGAAAATACTCGACGGCGAGCAAAACTGGTTACTTCAGTTTGTGTGTGGCGCCGCATTGAAGAAGGGGGGTATCGAGAGAAGTATAGAATCATTACGGAGGAGGTATAGAATGTACAACGGAGCACCCGATGTGAGGAAGAAAGTCGCTCTTGCTCGATACAGAGTCGTGTATACCGAAAAGATTAGTCAGGAAAAGGCTTATTTGTCTCCTAGTTTCGCCTTCCTAATGGCTGAAACTTTGTTCTTAAAGGAACAAGACACCTTTGCCTTCTCGTCGAGAGGAGGATTGTTAAAACAGTGATTTGTTTAGTTACAGATTATAGTTTGGTTATTATATAATATAGTATTTAATGGAGTTAGTATTTTATAATTCTTTATAGCTATTTATTATAACAAACTATTACAAATAATAAATAATTATTAAATAGTAATATAAACTAATCATTCAGTCATATGATAAGATATTATTGAGGAACATTAATATGTGCCTTCCTAGCTCAGTCGGTAGAGCGTGCGGCTTTTAACCGTAAGGTCGGGGGTTCGAGCCCCCGGGGGGCGTTTTTATTTTTTAAAATTTTTTAATAGTATAATTTAATAATTATATTTTCAAACTAGAATTTATCATTTTATATCATTTATTTACTTATTAAAAATAAGAAGCATTTGTGGTCTAAGGGCAGAATTCCACCCTTCCAAGGTGGAGATCCGGGTTCGAGTCCCGGCAAATGCATTTTTTCTTTTTTTCACAAGTTTATATTATACCAATAAAATAATAATTAATTAAACTATACTTAACTCTAATTAATTTCATGCATTTTCAATTAGAAATAAAAAAATAGTAAAATAACTACTAAAAATACTAGAATTACTTAATCAATACGACGTATAATAAGTAAATAGTAACTTATCTATTATCCTCTCTGAACAATTCCATTGGTTGTTTTCTAAGTATTCTAAAGAGTGGCAAGAACGTCGACAATCCGGCGAATATAATAGCGCAGACGATTACAATCACAAACAAGACTGTAGGGAAAGTGAATCCAACTGGAGTTTGTGTGAACAAAATGATTTGGAGTGTCATAGTGAATCCAACAAGACACCCGACGACCATTCCAAGTAACGATGCTGCAAAGATCACTACAAATGACTCAGCCAAGTACACTCGCACAAGTAAGAACCTTCCCGCTCCGATCGCTCTAAGCACAGCGATCTCTCTGATTTGTTCCTGGACGTTAGCGTACATAGCGCTGAGTACAGAGAAGAAGCTTGTGACGAGTGCGATGATAGTAACAAAGACCAAATAGAATGTCATGATAAGATTGACTGTATCTATTTGGCTTAAGAAGTCTGAAGTATATGCCGTTTTGAAATAAGGACTTGCAACCAGAGAACCAACTCTCTTTGCCATCTCCGCGTTATCTTCTTGAATTTTTATATGAAGTCCAACTATCTCGACTTCATCTATCGAACTCACATAATTCTTCCCTATCCGAACATACTCAGGAAGACTCACTAATAAGTCTTGCCACGTCATCAGAGGAGACGACGAGATCGTGAAGAACGGCGCACTCTTTAACACCCCACTCACACTCAAAAACGACATAAATTTGGTCATACTTGTGCGTAGCGCGTTCGACTCGACTATCATTATTTTGTCTCCGCCTGTAATGTGATATAAGTCAACAAGCGTTTGACCCGTGAGCGCCTTGTAGAATCCATTTGTGGAGTACAAATACTTGGGTATTGCTCTTTGATCCAAGTCCCCTATTGAAGTGTCCTCTGGCGCTCTTGTCACATCCAAATAGTCGTCGTAGAACACATAGAAAGCGTTGGGGAGGACCGGAACAATATTTTCCGGGCCGATGACCTTCTGTCCGAGTGTCGCAGTAGCGACCGGCGACTTCCGATACGTCCACATCAGATTTTCAAATGAAAAAGTGACACCCTCCACTCCGTCTGCTTTCGCGACTCTCAGCGCGATCTCGCGATACGCCAGATTAGCCTCCTCGACTGTTTTAAAGCTTCCTTCGACCGTCGTGATTGTCATCTCGGCACCCGACATCTTCAAAATCGATTGTTTCAACGTCCCCATCTCCGACGAAAACGCCGAGAAGAAGAACAAAATGAATCCAAGCGACAACCCAAAGAGAATCGACGTCTTCCGGTTACGCAGTTTGTGTGCTAACAAGTTCTTAATAGCCATCGGAAGCCCCGCTCTGTCCCAGAAGTACAGCAAATAGAGTAACAGCCGTTCTATTAGAGGCGTGACATTGAGGCATAACATCACCGAACCAATTAAGAGGAACAGAATGAAGACGGCAAAGATCGCAAACATAGCTGTTAAGTTCAACGCGAGCATAGCACGAGGGAGTATCAAGTAAGTCATGATGCCATAGGCAGTACCGAAGATCCCGAGGAATATAGTGTACCACGAGATATAGGAACTGCGCTTCCTTTTGATGGACACAACGTGGGACGTCGACGGCCGCGTCGTTAATTCCTTTGTTAGAATGTCATAGAGAGGGAATATAGTAGCGATAATAGGGACCAAGAAGGACAAGACGATCGCGAGGATGATAGCAAGTGCAGTAGGGTAGAAGGTGATGTCGACTTCAAAGACCTTCCCGATGACGATTGAGGATATAATAAAGATGAGAGTGGAGAGTATAGCGCCTAAGACCAAAGCTGGGAAGGTGTAGAATAAAGAATTGGAGACTAATTGAATACCCAAAAAGAGTCTTCTGGTGCCAATGGTTCTTTGAATCTTTAGGGTTGCACTTTGGGCGTCAAAGTTGATTGTTAGAAGGGAGTGTACTAGTAACACAGAAAGAGCTAATAACACTATAACTGCTATATCTACGATCATCCCTAACATAACATTGGCATATTTATACATCGAAAGTCCTTCTAAGACGGGGGTAGTAGATGTCAACTTATTGAAACTTAAGTCGTAAAGGACTTGTGAAAGGTAACCCGTCACATCTCGTTGAAGAACAGCATAATCGTTACTTTGATAATAATCAGTGCGTGGTGTTGGAACATTCACTAGAACCTCACTCGCACACTCATTGAAGTCGTACGAAGATATGAACGTCTTAAATTGAGTTAAGTGTTGCGGCGCATTCAAAAAGAGTGTTTGACTCATCGCATTGTACTCTGCAAAAATGGCATAAGGACTCCCAGCTAACTTATCTTGTGTATCCCCAAATAAATATTTGACCGTCATATTTAAGACAAATGCGTCGGGGAGACGCGTCGCACTGGTTTCTTCACTTTCTAAAAATTTTTGATATTTTTCTTCCATAACAAATAGGCGCCGTTTCGGGAGTTCTATATACACATAATCCCCTTCTTGAATGGATAAGGCTTCAGCTACTTTCTTGGAAATCCCGACTTCGCCCGGGTTTAATGGCTCATATTCCCATTTTTCTCCTATTCCTATGGATTTCTCTTTTGCAGTGGAAATCGCATAAAAGGAAATTTCTGTTGTGGTGGCGGAACAATACTTCTCAAAACAAGACGACAAATCACACGTCTCAGTGACGTCAGAATCATTCCCATAATATACCCATTCATTACTAGTAAATTTATTATTACATTTATTAGTATATACCGTCGAAGGGGAAAACCACCGAGGCGTCGCCGTATTAACTTTTTTTTCTATTGAAGAATAGTTTAGTGATTGATAATATTTGTTGGGCGTCAAAACCATATCAATTTGCCCATTTGTCCGTTCGGAAAGTCGTAAATAAACGACAGGCGTCGTCGAGAGAATACTAAAAAGAGTACACGTCACCACAAAAACGACAGTGACACTACAAGAACCAATTATGTAGTTTTGATAACTCACACGAACATTTCGAAGGGAATTCAAAAAGAAAAATTTTGTGAGTGAAAGGGCATAACTCAAAAAAATTAAGAAACGATGAAAAAAGTCTTTCACAGTCATCGACCTTTCGTTTTGGAAATTATGAGTTGGCTATAATTATAGCTTTTTGTTATTATGAGATTTTTCTTTTTAATTCATTGTTAATGTTTTTTTTTTTTTCTATGAATGGTTTTATTATATTGTATATTTAATTTATTATTAATTGTATTAAAATTAATGTTAAATTAAATTTTATTTTTAATATTCAAAATTAATTTTTTTATTTAATTCTGTATTTTTTTCTATTTTTTTATTTTTTATTTAGTATTATATATAATTATTTTAAATATTCATATTAATAAATTTATATAATTATAAATAAAATTATACTTTATAATTTTTTATATTTATTAAACAAGTATAAATTTTTTATCATAAATAAACTATAACTTTTGTATTGGATTTTATAGTTAATAATAATAAAGTAATTTAATTTCAAGTTTATTAAAAAGTTGTATTAATAATAATTATTATTTTTAATCATTAAAAACAGTATTATTAATTATAATAAAATTTAACAGTTTAAATAACAAACACAAATAGTAAAACTATTTTTATAATATTTTTGTATTATTTTTTTCCAAACTTTGTCCCATTTTTAATAAAAAATAAAAAAAAACAACAAACTCATTAAAAAAAGAAAATAAGGTAAAAACTCAGAAAAATGGCGATTTTAAAAAAATCCCGATATATTCCAGTTTTTAACATCTAAAAACAAAACTACAAATTCAAAGAAAAAACAATTTACACAATTATAACTCTACAAATATTATTTTTTTAGGCAAGTTATTATTAAATTGTTATTTTTGAAACTATATAACATTTATAATTTTTATTATATTAAATGATTTATTATTTAACATTTTTTTATTCAATTTTATATTAGAATAATGTTAAACTATTTCAAAAAAAGTGAACGAAGCATTTTTATAATAATGTTACCATGTTTATATTATTTTATTGATTATTCTTTTTAAATGATAAAGATCGCCGTTTTATAAAACGTGAAAATAAAAAAAATGACTAGACTCTCTGTTATAAATATCATTAAAATAAACTTCAGTCAGTCTTTGAACGTAATCTAGTTCTTTGTGGGATTTAAAAATGTAATATTTCGGAATCGACAAATTAAAAATAATTTCGTTGTTTCATCTTTTTTATATTTTAAAATTTGGTGCATGATGTTTACATACAATTAATGCCGTTTTATTGTCCACTTAATAAAGTTAAAGACTGACTCGACTAATTATTTACACTTGGCAAAATTATCATAATTGATTGCGAACATTTTTTGTTACTTCTTTTTGTGCTATTAAATCATTTAAACAAGTGTTCAGAATTGGGTTTTGCTGATTTCAGTATGTTTTTCTGAATTCAATATTCAATACTTTATTTGTATTACACTTTGTTATAACGTAAACACAAATATATACATTTTTAACGTTTTCACTCGTTTTGCAAGTATAAAAAACATCGACATGACATATTTCTACTAAATTCAATAAAGCTTTAATATTACAATTAAAAAAATTGATTTTAATTCAAAATTACACAACAATTATGATTAAATAATTGAGATTGTAGTTGTTTGATTTGTAATTACCACAATCAGTGACTAAAAAGTTTTCTTTGTGGTTGATTGGGTTAACTCTTTTTTCTATAATTAGGCAACGTTTGAGTTATGATTTAAAATATACAATTATTGAAGTTGTAGTTGGCTAATTACAAAATAACATCTGAGGATATAATTTGTACCAAAGTGCCAGTTTAAAATAACAATTACCCAATTATAGTTTTATAATAATTAAAATATTATAACATGTTAGTATTTTTTTATTATTTATTGTATCTTTCAAATAATTTGTTTTGATGTTATAATTAGAGACAGTTTATGATAAATGGCGGAGCAATAGTTGAAACTTATTTTTAGAGAATGGTTTATAGAATTCTGTTTGCTTCTTAAAATTATTTGTGGTTTACTATTTATATATCGACGTTAGATGCCAAACGAACTTAAACAGCTTTGAAATATTAGGGGTGCAACCCTTGTTATTAGCTTTTTAAAAGAAAAACGAGTTTATTTCAGTCTTTAATAGGTATAAAAAACAGGCCGCTCTCTAATAATTAAAATTAAAATACTAAATCCGTATTTGAATCATGATATATTTATAAACTACATTATTTTGAATCAACCTCTCAGTGTGCTTTTAGTTTTAACGACCTGTTTTCTATAAAAACCGGGACTATATAATAAATTCATTACTTGTGTGAGCAATGGATATGTATTCCAATAACCAACAGAAGACACAACAAAAAAGTAAAATAGTTCGTTCGTGGACATTGAAAGAGGATTCATTGCTTGTTGAAGCAGTAAATCAGTTTGGGAAAAACAACTGGAGAAGTGTAGAAGAGGTTGTTATGACACGAACACGAAAACAGTGCAGAGAACGCTATTTGAATCACTTGGACGACTCTGTTGAGAAGCGTGCTTGGACACAAGAAGAGGACGATATTATAATGAAAAGAAGAACAGCAATAGGAAACAAGTGGACAAGAATAGCTCAAGAGTTGAAGGGAAGAAGTCCAAATGCAGTCAAAAACAGATTCTTCGGGCACTTGAATAAATTCTATAAAACTAACCAAAGAAATGAAACAATCAGTGAGACAACCACATCAGAATTATTATCTGAAAAAATCTCTGCTTTTTCTGTTGTTGAACGAAGTCTTTATTATGTCCATTAGGATTTGTATAAATGAATTTGATTGTATTGTTTATAATAATGATAAAAAATTGTTTTCTTTTTATTTTAAAAGGGTATGAAGCAAATGTATAAATAATAATGATTATTTTTTGAAATGCTGTAACACTTTGAGT